TACAGTTATATTATTGGAATAGTTGTAGCACGAATGGGTCGGCTCGACCGGGGAAGGACCACGCTCTCACAGAATACCAGCGTGAAATAGCTGTTTATCGCTGCGCTGGTGTGTTTCGTATAGTAAGTGTAGAGAACCGGAGACCCTTTTTGTTGGAGACCAGGTATTCCATCTTTTTTTTATAGGATAAGGGTGACAAACGAGCACACAGTCCACCTGATGGTAAGTGATTGCTGTGGCCCATAGACATCTACATCTGAAAATGCAGATGCGTTTCCATCCGTGAGGACTAAGATACGTTTGTATGTGGTAGAGCCATGCTGCAGCTATATTATGGTTGTAGCACGAATGGGTCGGCTCGACCGTGGAAGGACCACGTTCTCACAGAAAACCAGCGTAAAATAGTAGCTTAAAGCTGCTGTTTCGTATGGTGAGTGTAGAGAATCGGAGACCCTATTTACTGGAAACGAGGCATTCCATCTTAGTCCTCATGGGTGACAACGCATCTGCATTTTCAGATGTAGATGTCTATGGGCCACAGCAATCACTTACCATCAGGTGGACTGTGTGCTCGTTTGTCACCCTTATCCTATAAAAAAAAGATGGAATACCTGGTCTCCAACAAAAAGGGTCTCCGGTTCTCTACACTTACTATACGAAACACACCAGCGCAGCGATAAACAGCTATTTCACGCTGGTATTCTGTGAGAGCGTGGTCCTTCCCCGGTCGAGCCGACCCATTCGTGCTACAACTATTCCAATAATATAACTGTACCATGACTCTACCAAGTAATGTATTGGTTATGTCAGACTCATGCTGTTTACAACACCTACACCTCATATTGGTGGGGTCACAGTAACGTTTTGACATGCGCAACCCCACCAGCGCCAAGCCCTTTCTCAGGAGAGAATAACTCCTACCCCACTTAATTTCCTCAGACAAAGCCCGCGTTCCTACATGGTCTACATCTCCAGGCAAATTAAAGGGTGGCGGCCTAAAAAGTAACTATGCAAAAACCTTATTGCCTCCGGTAAGTGGCGGTATAAGTTTATGCCTCTGTAATTCGTTATTTTAGACATGAACACTATGGTACTCGTTTTAACATCTTCTGCAAAATTTGAAGGATTCCACGGTGTGGTTAAAGTCGACTAAAAATAAATTAAAATTAAAAGTTTTGTATAATCGACTTCGATATAAATTATTAAGAATAACTCAAAAACTATTGGTCAGGCCTTGATTAATTTTATAAGGGCCTACATAGGAAGCAGCATCTTTCAAATAAAAAAAGAATCATCAAAATCGGTTCACGCAGAAAATAGTTATGTGGTATACATATAAATATGGGCCACACCAACCACTTACCATCTGTATGTCGATGATCTTCAGTTATATGTCCAAGTGGAACCCTCAAATATCTCTAATGCTATCTCATTATTAAATGATGACTTGAAATACATCTCCGAATGGACCACTGTGTATGGCATAAACGTGAACCCATCTAAATGCTAAACAATAATCTTAGGTACACGATTATTATCGAAACTAGATGTTCCCACCCAACCATCAATTATGTTTAAAAATAATGTCATACCATTCTTTTCCCATGTAAAGAACTTTGGTCTGTACGCTGAAGGTTGCTTAACGTGGATACCGGAGGTGAGTCGCAAAACTACTGGAACTTTGCGATCTCTATATCGATTAAAAAACTTTCTTCCCACCAATACTAAGATTTTACTTGTCCAGTCACTTATTTTACCGATTATTGATTATGTCGATGTGTGTTGCTCAGACCTGTCTCAACATCGTCTTAGTCAATGGATCGTCTACTTAACAACTGTATCAGATACATTTATGGTCTCCGTAAATACGACCATGTATCTTCTTTTCGTGCTCAGCTAAATAGGCTGCCTATCCGTCAGCGCAGATATGTTAGAACACTCTGCACCCTTTTCACAAGTCTGAACGATCCATGTGCTCCCGAGTATCTGAAATCCAAATTTTAATACCTGGGAGATTCCATAGTCGTTCTCTCAGTTCTTCGGCTAATCTTAAGTTGCTCACTCCTTTACACCGATCTGGTTATTTATCTCACTCTTTCGCCCTCACGACCATCAGACTCTGGAACGACATCCCTCTTGACATTAAAAAAGCTCCAACAAGTTTGTTTTTAAAAATCAAGTCCGTAAGCATGTGATAATATCGTTGCAAGTTTGAATTAACACAGCTCTTATTTTCATACACATATGTATATTTCGTATTTGTTCTGACATAGATAATATTTATATGTATTGTGTATTTATGTACTGTATGCATATATATGTGTATGTATATATTTATATATGTATATATTTTGTGTACTTAAGTATATATGTCTATGTATGTGTGTATATACATATACATATACTAGCTGGCCAGGCAGACGTTGTTCTGCCCTTTCCGACGACGCCTCCTATGAAAAAATCCTTAAATTCGCAATAAAAAAATATTGAAGGTCACTTATCGGGATAAAAGTATCCTATCTTTCAAGTTGGAACAAACTGCACACAATGTGCCAAATTTCATTGAAATCAGTTCAATAGTTTAAGAGTTCATCGCGGACAAACAATGTGACACGTAATTTTTATATATAAAGATTTATATGTATATATGCATATACAACTTTTTAACCTTTTCTATTTTGATTACTGCTGCACCGCCTCTTGTTTGTCGATCTCTGTATAGCCTAATGGTTGACTGGGAGAGAATACCTTATGGTATTAAGTCCGCCAAATGTACAACTTTGTGAATGAAAGATTAAATAAATAAATAAATAACAACAACAGTCGAATTGAGTACCTCCTCCTTTTTGAAGTCGTTAGAAAATTATCAACACGCGAATTCCTAGATATTTCAATAAAAATAGCGTAAAAACAATCATAAAACTGCCTCAACCCATTCGCTGTCCCGTGTACTATATATAGTTCATAGCTGTTGTCTTACTATTGTGTCTGAACATCGGACAGGGAAAGTGTTAAATTAAGTGTTCAAAATTGAGTGTTTCGAAAGTTAAAATCTTTGTTCATTATTATAAATATTTTGACGGCTTGGTAGCGCAGTGCCATTTTATATATAGTGTATCTACTAGTGCTACGAATTCAAATACCGCGCAAAACAAGCTTATGTATGGACTATAAGTAAATATAATTGTTTCGCGTCTGAATAATGCCTCCTTGTGCAATGTATGATTGTATATCCTACACGAAGCATGAGAAATCCTAGTGTTCTTTTTAAAAAATGTTTTTTTTAACTACATATGAAATAAAACTAATTTTACGGATTATATCGCGTTTAATTTTAATTTTTAACTCCCGATATTTCAGACACTTTACAGCACCCACGGTCACGGGTGTGGGGTACTGTCGGTCAGGTATTTGACATGCTGATGCCCTGATGTCATAGTTTATTCGGGCTACCTTTAGCTTTCGAATATTAATTTTGGTTCAACCTAAACCTTAATTTTGAAGTCTTACAGTAGTATCTTAGGATGTGGATTTAAATTGATTAATTATGAGACCCTTATGCGCATTTAAAAAGTTAAAATTTAATGCGATAAAATCAGTAACATTAGTTTTATTTCACGGAATATAACAAATTATTAGCATAAATACAGTTGCATACGCATTCTGCGCCGGGTAACTTATAGTGGCATTCATCACCAAAGGTTATTTTTACCGCGGTACACGTGAGTGCGAGAACTGGCCAGTCGCCCGGCGATCTCTCACTGTGCCGACACACGTTTGTAAGTGATCGTAACTCAATATAGATTATCATTTCTGGTAGATTTTGATGTATTTGAAATTAGGGGTAAGTAAATTTATTTGATAAACTTTATCAATCTATTAAGACAAGAAAAATGTAGATTTCATCTTAGTAATTAGCTTGTTTAATTTATTGTAAGGTGAAAATTATGTAAAATCTGAACATCATCTTTCGTTATTACCGTCTATCACAAGTCCACTGCTGATTCTAAACCTCACCTTCTTTTATTAACAGGTGGTAGAGCCATGCTGCAGCTATATTAATTGTATAGTTGTAGCATGAATGGATCAGCTCGACGGGGGAAGAACCACGCTCTCACAGCATACCAGCGTAAAACAGCAGCTTAACACTGCTGTGTTTCGTATGGTGAGTGTAGAGAACCGGAGACCCTTTTTACTGGAGAAGATGCATTCCATCTTAGTACTCACGGGTGACAACGCATCTGCATTTTGATTCTTTATTGAGGATAGATGTAGATGTTTATGGGACACAGCAACCACTTACCATCAGGTTGACTGCGTGCTCGTTTGTCACCCTATCCTATAAAAAACTCTCTGATATCCATCTGACAACCAACAATTGCCATTAAGCATGATCCTAAGCCACCTGCATCCTTCGATCCCTGCATTTCACGCAGTCGTCACTTAATTTAGTAGGGTTGCCTAAACCTGCACTTGTCAGATAGTATGAGTTTACCGCTAAGCCACCTGCATCCTTCGACTCCCTGTATTTTTCACGCAGTCGTCACTTAATTTAGCAGGGTTGCCTAACCCTGCACATCTCAGATAGTATGAGTTAACCACTCGAGAATCTATCTTCTCTATCGTTGTGTTGGTTCTTCGAGCTACATGAGTAGTCCAATGAAACTTTCCAAAATATTTATGTTATTTTATTTTATAGCGAAAATGTACAGTGATATATTACTTAATTACCATTAAGTAAAGTGGTTACAGCCTATCAAAAAGTCCACTGTCTTCATGATGATGATGACTTGATGATGATGAAAAGCCGACTTTACCATAATTGTGACGAACTGATCCAGGAAGACGCTGAACGCAGAGGGAGGCGACGATGATGATGCTGATAACCATAAACTAATATCACAGTAAAACTAATAGAAGTATGTAAAAGTAGAAATTAAAATCATGTAATGACGATTAACATTTTTGAATATGTTTCGAAAAATTATAGCCGAAGTATAATGGGCGAACAAACAAAGTGCGTGATCTGCTCATCCCCAGCCGTGCAGAAGTGCTCCGGCTGTCAGAATGTTCACTATTGCTCGAGGGAGCATCAGAAGCAGGACTGGAAGCTTCACAAATACCGATGTATACCAGCTAAAGTCAAACAAGACCCGAAGTTGGGGAGGTACCTCGAAGCCACGAGAGACATCAAGTCTGGTGATATAATTATGAAGGAAGCCCCACTCATTACAGGACCAGCGCAGGTAAGAAATGTTATTGAACCAGAGAAAGAACTTGTTGGATGTTTGAGGTAAGTATTTTTATTGATAATTAAGTAATCAGGTATAATTGGGTTTTTGAATTAAAATAACTATATTTTTAGTTATATTATTTAAATGTATACCGATAATCGATGCAAGAAAATTTCAAATGATGTATAATTAATTATGAATTAATTAAAAGTTATAAAAATACAAAAATTATCACGTAAGTCGAAACCACCAGTTATAGTGGAAAATCCACTAAGTTGGCAACATTAGACAACACTGAGTTTCAGCACGCGCCGTATTATATGACGTCATCAGCATGCGTCCTTCAATATTCGGAATACCTACCGCATTTTATAAAAATTCGGCGCATACGATGCGGGTGTAATGTGCGAGATTTCATATGATTTCATACAACGAATTCTAAAATTCGGCGCGTAGGTATACCGTGCGTACGGCACGTACGGCGCTGACAAATGCGCGTTCATCTCAATTCAGAAAGAAATGCTTCGATGGTTTGGACATGTAGCAAGAGTGATAAAGCAAATACCTATATGCTACAGAAGTGAGCGGCAGTGTAAACTTCTAGACGGTTTATCGACCAAATTGGAGACATACTTAATGTAGGTATAGTGTGTTTACGCTGTGTTACTACTGATAATGATTAACTGCGTAAGCAAGAGAGCAAGTTGAACATCCGCTCTCACACTTTTACTATTTTTAACAATTAACAATATCATGATGTAATTCCGAGATCAAAATTGGGATTCTCTGTTGTAATCTCCGAAAAATATTTGTTTGTAATCGCGCTACCGGGCCTTCGGAGGAGCAGTATAATTACAGGCTATGCTGCATTCCACCTTAGAACTCAGAGATGACAGCACATTAGTCTGTAACCTTCTTTATTTGAAGTTGGTTGCCGGTGTCCACGGGCAGAAGCAGCCATTTACCATCAGGTGGATTGTAAGAAAATTTGTCACTTCTGTAGAAATCACAACTTGTAGTTCCTATTCCTTTAATTAGTTATATAATTGTTTGATCCGAGAAAATGTGTTTTTGAATGCATTGAAGTTATTTAACAGGTTTTAAGTTAGACACGGGTGTTTTCTACCGACTTTAAAAAGGAGACGGTACTCAGTTCGATTGTATGTTTTTTTATGTGTGTTACCTCATAACTTTTTACTGGGTGAACCGATTTCAATGACTCTTTTTTTATTTGAAAGCTGGTGCTTCTCATGTGGTCCCATATAAATTTGACAGATAGTTTTTGAGTTTATTCCTAACAATTTATATTGAAGTAGTTTGTACAACATTTGTAATTTTAAATTATGTAAAAAAACTTTTGTATCAGGTGACACCACCAGTGTGCCTTGGCTGCTATACGTTATTAGAAGAAGGGAAAACAGTTTCATGTTCTGATTGTGGTTGGCCATTCTGCTCAGAAGCCTGCACCAGAAACGAAGCGCACAAGCCCGAATGTCATTTTACTCAGAAGAGAGGTGAAAAGGTATGCTTTATATGAACACAACTATTTCTTAAAATCTATCCATTTTTTCAGGACAACCACGGAAGTCAATGTTGTCGAACTTGGTCCCCATTTCACCTTTATGTTTTTGTTAGTATTGTATTTATTTTAACTTAAGAAGCCCAAATTTAAATGTGTGTTTGCAAAGGTTTAAAAGTTTTGCTACATACTCGTAAAATCGATGTTGTATTTATGTAAAGATATAAAAAATTATACCTATGTACGAAAGCTATTTTCTACCGACTTCAAAAAGCAGACGGTGCTCAATTCGACTGTATGTTTATTTTATGTGTGTTACCTCATAACTTTTTTCTGGGTGAACCGATTTCGATGATTGTTTTCTTGTTTGAAAGTTTGTGATTCTCATGTGGTCCCATATGAATTGATCAAGGTCTGACCAATAGTTATTGAGTTATTCTTAATCATTTATATTCAAGTCGGTTGTACAAAATTTTTTATTTTAATTTAAAATTATGTTTCAATATATTCTTTAAACAATTATTAATTTTGGTAGCATGGACTATCATCATTAAAATTTGTAACTGAACTATATATTTTTACTGTTGGTCAGCTAAAATCCCTTACCAAGCAGTCCCAGCCCCCTGCCAGGCCTTAGTTAACTGTCAAATGCTTGGTCTCTGTTTTCCAGGTTTCCATCTCCACTTTTGGCGTTCCTCATCCAAATTACCAATGCATTACTGTACTCCGGTGCCTGTATCAGAGACCATGACGAGAAACTGTGGGGTAAGCTGCAGGCCCTGGAGTCTCATTGCGAAGAACGCAAGAACACGGACAAGTGGAACAACGACAAAACAATGATCTCAGATTTTATCATCAAGTTCTTCAAATTAGATGGGATGTTTACTGAAGAGGAGATCATGAAGTGCTGTGGTATTATTCAGGTATAACAAAAAAATTTGGTCTAATTTGGTTTGAGCGTATGAGGCAAATACTAGAATACAAGTCGACAAACAAGCTAGCACTGTCTACTTTTTTATAGGATAGGGTGACAAACGAGCACACAGTCCACCTGACGGTAAGTGGTTGCTGTGACCCATAGACATCTATATTTATCCTCAATAAAGAATCAAAATGCAGATGCGTTGTCACCCGTGAGGACTAAGATGGATTGCCTCTTTTTCAGTAAAATGGATCTCCGGTTCTCTACACTCAACCATATGTAACACAGCAGTGTCAAGCTGCCATTTTACACTGGTATTCTGTGAGAGCGTGGTCCTTCCCTGGTTGAGCCGACCCATTCATGCTACAACTATACTACTAATATAGCTGCAGCGTGGCTTTACCACGTATAGATACCAGCTACCACTTGATGATTAGTGGATATTCTACCCTATAGGCATCTACACCTAACCTCGATTAGTTATGAAAAATTCCACTTATGTAATATATTTAGACTATCTCTATTTAAAATCAATTGATGTACGTTAGTCTCACTAAAAGTCGTAAACGGCTCGACCAATTTTGATAAGAATTTTTGTGTGTGTTCGAATGGGTCCCTTGTACCGTTGGGTAACGTGGGCTAAAGGTGAGATAGTTTAGGTTCACATTTGAACTTGGTAGGTGGCGCTGAGATCCAGAAATAACACGTGCAAAGCCGGGATGGATCGCTAGTCTATATATCAATACTCTATACATACAAATAAATAAAATTTAAGTGTCTGTTTGTAATATCAAAATAAGGATTTTTTACTAAATGCATATGAAAGTATATACGATGTAACGATACTAACAACAAAAAAACGATTCTTTTTTAATTTTTGTCTCTCTATCTGTTTGTTCCGGCTAATCTCCGAAACGGTTGCACCCAATTTGACGAGAATTTCACTGGCAAATAACTGATGTTATAAGGAGTAAATTAGCCTATTTTTATTTTAGAAAAAGAATTAGGGTTCCAAAAAAATTAAAACTCATGAAATCCATTCGTAATAAATTACACGCGGGCGAAGTCGCGGGGAAAAGCTAGTATTAATAATAATAATGAGTACTTTATTTCCAAAAGGTAGTACAACCGGATATTTGCTTAACACTTAATAAAGTTAATTTGGTACATATATTTGAAACATAGCATCTGCAGCCGAACTAGGAGACCTGTGCATCAGTCATTAAATAAAAAGTAAAATGTGACGTAAAGTAATAAAGGAGAAGTTAGGTCTTGCTAATGTTAAGACATAATAAATTATTAGAAGTATAATAAGCCCCGATTTCAGAAGCTACATAATATGTGAAATTTATTTTACTATATTTTTAGTTCTTTGAAATTAGCTTTTTCTTTTGAAAGTCTAACTTTGAGACCCTTCTGAGTGGACTAAGTAATATCACAAGTTCGAATATCGTCTAAACAGTTACATTATTATACTTATATATAAACCTTAAATCTTTATATATAAAAATTACGTGTCACGTTGTTTGTCCGCGATGGACTCCTAAACTAGGTACTGAACTGATTTCAATGAAATTTTGCACACTGTGTGCATTTTGGTCCAACTTGGGAGATAGGATAGTTTTTATCCCGATAAGTGACCTCAAAATTTTTTATTGCGAAATTATGAATTTTTATAGGACACAGGGTCGTCTGAGAAGGCAGAACAACGTCTGCCTGGCAAACTAGTGTTATCTAAAACTTCATACTTGATTTCCTCTCTTAGAGGTGGAATCCATTTTTGTCAAATTTATACAAGACCAGGCCTGACGTAAAAGCGCCAAATTTTTACCCGCGGCTCCGTTCGCATTGAAATAAAAACCAACCAATTTTTATTGCACCATGGATTAAAAAAACTGTAATTTGATATTTTATACAAAAAACTATAGCCTATGTGCTATTCTAGTATGTTATATAAAATATTGCTTAGTTTCATTAAAATCTGACTGAGCCACAAACACACAAACATCCAAAAAAACATTCACATTTACAATATTAGTAGGATTTATCAAAAAAAAAAACATTCAAATCGTTTAGAAATTAACAATGACATCTCTTAACATACTACACTAAAATAAGAACATACCGTCGAATAAAAAAACTTCTCTCTTTTTTTTAAAGCTGGTTAGTGAAGACCAATAAAAAGTTCCGGTTTTCCAGTTTTCCGGTTCTCGAACTTCATCTTACTTCGTCCAACTTAAGGGAATCTAACATCTTATTGACCTCATAACACCTTTCCGTATTTAACACGATGATCAAGATTGCAGTATCAGAAGTTTATTAAGAGGTCGGGGAAAAAATTTCTTCGTTTTTTGTTTGTAAAAAAATGAAAAAAATGTATTTAGTTACTGTTTGTATTTGGCTGTTTTCAATATCAAAACATATAGGACATTAAGAAAAATAAAAATAAAAAGTAAAGAACACTTTCCCGCCATTTTTCAACTGTTTTTCTTTCCGCCAAAATGAGTGAATCTAACGAAGAAATTCGATACATTTTGAAGCTTTATTACAAAAAAAAGGAAGATGCGACTCAAGCCGCGAAAAATATTTGTGACGTTTACGTACCTAATTACCGGTTAGTGGCAGTAAAAAATATCCACTACCCCATATCTTCCCGTGGGTGTCGTAAGAGGCGACAATGGGAAACTGACAGGAGATGGGCAGCGGTATCTTCCTGATAACAGCAATATTACAATAAAAATTACTGCGGTTGCCAACCCGCTCGCCAAGCTTGGCAACTATAGCAAACAAACATCCCCCATGAGCAACAACACAATTAAACGTCCCCCAGTACCCCGCCGACCCCGCTATTCCTGGCTACGGTGGCGACCATGGTAACAGTGGGGCAGGGGGTGCTAAGAATATCCGGTGGAGGTTCGGTTGCCACCTAAAACGACTCGATCTGGCAACATATAACGCACGCACCATGAGCACTGATAGGAAGATCCTGGAGCTGGAAGAAGAGATAGACAAGTTACGCTGGCATATTATAGGATTATCCAAGGTCCAAAGAGAGGGGGAGGACACGGTAATCCTCGAATCCGGCAACTGGTTCTATCACCGGGAGGGCGAGTATCTGTCCCAAGGAGGTGGCGGATTTATCGTCCAAAAGTCTCTCGTTACCAACGTTGTAAAGATTGTGAGTGTGTCGACGAGGGTTGCGTACCCTATACTCAGAATCACCAAACAGTATTCGTTGAAGGTCATGCAGGTTTACGCAACAAACTTGGCACATTACGATGAGGAGGTAAAGGAAATGTATGAGGGTATCTCTAAAGCCATGCATTCCTCCAAAACTCACTATACGGTGTTACTGGGATACTTCAATGTAAAACTAGGCACAAGAGAGAACGGTGAGCTGAAAGTAGGGAAATTTGGCATACGGCTACGGAACCCAAGGGGCCAGCAGCTGGCCGACCTCATGAAAAAAGAGGGACTTTATGATGAACTCTTTCTTCCAGAAGCGGCCCCACAGGAAGTGGATCTAGTCGAGCCTCGAAGGTTCGACAAAAATGAGATTGACTTCATTATGGCGACCAGACGACAACTGTTCAGTGATATGAATGATAAGCTCGTGAAAACTGTCCATGGGGTCAAAGCTAAGTTCTGCAAGACCCGCCGCAGAAGAACACAAAAACTGGAAAAAACTGACAAGACGAAAACTGCAAAGACGGGAAATGAAACTGCAGTCTTCAACAGATTTGACAGCATACAGGCAACTGAACAGACAAATCTCAAAATGCATGCAGTGGGACTAACGCAACTTCAATACAGCTTTTATTGAAGAAGTGATCGAGCGCAACCAAGACTCCAGAGTTTTTGCCAGAGATCTGTCTGCCAGAAAGAGCCAACTGTCAAAGCTGAAGACCGAGTATGGCAGTATCGTTTCCGGGACACCTGAGATTTTGAGTGAGATTGTGACGTTCTTTGGGCAGCTGTACACGTCATCGTTGGAGCCACATGCAAGTGTGAGTAACGATCACAGAGCGAGTCTTATGCGACACTATTCCGATGATATCCTGGACGTTAGTCTGAGTGAGATTAGAATGGCTCGCCAGCACCTTAAAAACGGCAAGGCGCCAGGTGAAGATGGAATTACAGCGGAGCTTCTGAATGCGGGTGGAAAACCAGTACTTGGAATCTTTCAGAAGCACTTTGCTTTGCTCTTTCTCCTTGGTGGGACTACTCCGGAGGCGTGGAGCAGAAGTGCGGTGGTCTTGTTCTTCAAAAAAGGCGACAACGCTCTTTTGAAGAACTACAGACCGATTACCCTTCTGAGCCGCGTCTACATACTGTTTTTGAAAGTCATTACGAATCGTCTCGACTCTATGACTTCCTGCCTATGGAACAAGCCGGTTTCCGAAGAGGGTTTTAGTACCATAGACTACATACATATCCTTCGGCAAATTGTAAAGAAGACAGAAGAGTACAATCTGTAACTTTGCCTTGTGTATTTGGACTATGAGCCAGTCTTTGATTCCTCCCGTTCTTTATCAATTCGTACATTTTTATCACAATCGGTTCAACCATTCCGAAGATTAGCGCTGACAGACGGACAGACAAACAAAATTTTTAAAAATGGTAATTTACGTCTCATTAGAATGCAAATAGCATGCAAAAAATGCCCTGTGATAAATAGAAGCGAGTTATTTCTATGTTGCGGACAGATACTTCAATTTTATTTATATGTAGGATAACTAAGTTAAGTACTTTATATTATTATTTTTTTATATAGGAATAGGGTGACAAACGAGCACACAGTCCACCTGATGGTAAGTGGTGGCTGTGACCCATAGACATCTACATTTATCCTCAATAAAGAATCAAAATGCAGATGCGTGGTCACCCATGAGGACTAAGATGGAATGCCTCTTTTCCAGTAAAAAGGGTCTCCGGTTCTCTACACTCACCATACGAAACACAGCTGCGTTATGCTGCTATTTTACGTTGGTATTCTGTGAGAGCGTGGTCCTTCCCCGGTCGAGCCGACCCATTCGTGCTACAACTATACTACTAATATAGCTGCAACATCGCTCTACCACGTACAGTATGAAGAAAACCCGTTATGAGATATAAGTGACATTTTTTTCTTTAGATTAACGGACACGAGGTCCCACTCATGGAGCCAGACTACGTAGCGGTGTTTGACCGTATCTCCATGGCCGAGCATAACTGCAGTGCCAACTGCAACAAGAGTTTCACGTCTACAGGGGAAATCGTAAGTAAATCGAACTACTTATAGTTTAGTTCTTATCATATTACATTCTTACCGTGTAGTGGCGGTGTAAGGATATCCACTACCCCATACCGTCCCGTGGGTGTCGTAAGAGGCGACAAAGAGACAACAGGTGATCTTTTTTACAACAACTCAAAATAATATAAAACAGTGGTTACCAACCCGCATGCCAAGCGTGGCAACTATGTCAAACCCTATAAGGCATTCTATGGGGAAGGCCTATGTACTGCAGTGGACTTTTATAAACTATAATGGATGAAATGTTTTTCTGCCGACTTCCAAAAAGGAGACGGTAATTCGACGCGTATGTTTTTTTTTATGTGTGTTACCTCATAACTTTTTACTGGGTGGACCGATTTCGATGATTCTTTTTTTATATGAAAGCTGATACTTCTCGTGTAGTCCCATATGAATTTGATCAAGGTCAGACCAATAGTTTTTGAGTTATTTGAGTTATTCTTAATAACTTATATTGAAGACGGCTGTACAAAATTTTTAATTTTAAATTACATTTTAATACTCTCCATTCAAATCTGATAACAATTAAAAAGCATCCTAACTTAGAGGCTTGAAGTTTGACTTATATTCCATAGCACTTAAAACATCAGAGTTTTCGCCACATGTTTGGCGGTGGAGAAAAGCAGTAACAACTAAATACGCCTGCATGTTTGAATGATAAAGTATATTTCGAGCATGTTATTGGCATGTGTTCTGTGCATACTACGTTTGGCTAATGGATTATTACATTCATTCTCTGTAAATATATGAGTAGACTGACGATGAAAGAGCCGCCGTAGCTCGGCGGTTTAGCGCTCGCTGTAAATTTCATAGTACACGAGCAACCCAGGTTCGATCCCTGCCGACATCGATGAAATTGTTAATTGCAATTTTAGTGCTAACTTACTACGTGCTCTGCGGTGAAGGAAAACATCGTAAAGAAATCTGCATGTCTGATAATTAAAAAAAATATTTCGAAGATATGTTATACGCATTGGGACAGAGCAGCGGACATTTCCTTGCTCTAAAACTGAGACTCCCAGCAATGAGACGTATATAGGCTGTAACTAACTGACGTTGCAATATACTGGAATGGTCTATGGAGAAATTATAACTATTTTAAAGTTATAGTATATCTCTAATTTTTTTTTATAGGATAGGGTGACAAACGAGCACACAGTCCACCTGATGGTAAGTGGTTGCTGTGACCCATAGACATCCACATTTATCCTCAATAAAGAATCAAAATGCAGATGCGTCGTCACCCATGAGGACTAAGATGGAATGCCTCTTTTTCAGTAAAATGGGTCTCCGGTTATCTACACTCACCATACGAAACATAGCAGCGTTAAGCTGCTATTTTACGCTGATTTTCTGTGAGAGCGTGGTCCTTCCCCGGTCGAGCCGACCCATTCGTGCTACAACTATACTACTAATATAGCTGCAGCATGGCTCTACCATTTAGAAGAAACTGTTTGTAGTAAATAATCTTTGATAAATTGAGGTACATAAGCATTTTTGCGCAAAAGTTATATTGCTTGTCGATTATGTACTCGTATTCTCACTATAATTAAGTATACGAGTTTCTTGAAACGTGTTAGCTTAATTTCATAAATATTATAACTAAGGCGTTTACGACGTTGTATTAACTCAACGAAGCGTTTGGATACGCGAATGACTGTATCAAAAACACAATACAAGTATGTGAAATATAAATTTAAAACTATCGGAGTGCTTACTATTAGGTGGACTGTGTGTGTGTGTGTGTGTGTGTGTGAAACTTTAAATATACGATTTAAGTCATTTTAAGTAACCATAACTGAATTGTTAGATCCTGAGTGCTGGTGTAGACATCGCAGCAGGTTCCCACATATCGGTGTGCTACACAGATTCGCTGTGGGGCACGGAGGCACGTCGGCATCACCTTGCCGACTCCAAGTTCTTCGAGTGTACATGCCGACGCTGCTCCGACGTTACCGAGTTCGGCACCATGTTTAGCGCGGTCAAGTGTAAACAGAAGTAAGTTAGGCCGTGCACTGAATTTGTAGCTAAATGTTTTAAGACAAGAGCATAAATGAACAGAATTAAGTTTGCACAGATTCGGTTAAAGTTAAAAGTAAAAAAGATTAAAAGCTTAAGTTTTTGCATCAAGAAGAACAGTACTATAAAGGAAACAAATCATATTAAATTTCATAAATTTAAAAAAACCCCGAAATAAAAAGAGTTGATGAACTTCACACGACTAAAAAGATTTTCTTGAATCATACCTAGGAACACTCTCGATCAAGTCACCTTTCAAAGAAAAAAAAACTAAATCTAAATCTGTTCATCCGTTTGGGAGCTGCGATTCTACAGACAGACACACAGACACACATATACAAAAATACATGGAAACAGACACATAACCCCTCTTTTTCATCGGAGTTAATAAAGACTAACAATTGAACGTGAGGTTAAAGTATAACAAAAAAAAACAACTTAAAATTAAAACTAGAATGTCGTGTAAAATGTCGTAATAATTACATTAAAAACTTCATTCTCTATTTTTCTACTTATAAGGATATATTATTTTCCAATTTTATATTATAGGACCACTCCTGAAGTTATAACCTTATTTCATAAATAACCAGCCAAGTGCGAGTCAGACTCGCGCATGAAGGGTTCCGTACCATCGTAAAACACATTTCTAGTAGGGGAGCCTCCTTTAGTTTTTAATTTATTATTTGTTGTTATAGCGACAACAGATATACACATTCTGTGAAACTTTCAACTATTTACCTATTACGGATCATGAGATAAAGCTCGTTGAAATACAGACCGTGCCGTTGATTACCCTTCGGCTATGGAAACCTGAATAGTAATCATAAAAATCGGTTCACACTTGACAAAGATTTCGCGTAACATACATCAAAAAAGAGAGAAAAAAGAAAGCCGTTATAGCTTAGGGGCTAAGCGCTCGCTCTAAATTTCACAGTACCTACGCGAGTAACCTGGGTTCAATCCCCGCCAGCAGAAGGAAAACATCGTGAGGAAGCCTGCATGTCTGAGAAATAAGAAAAAATATTTCTAAGACATGTGGCAACACGCATTTGAGTAGCGCAGTGGACTTTTCCTTGCCCTAAAACCCTCTCAGAAATGAGAGGAGTCCTGGGTCCAGCCGTGGGACATATATCGTCTGTAACTTTAACTTTAATACGAAAAAGAACACAACAGTAATGTACACGCCCTTAGCTGTCCCGAAAAAGATCGACTATACAGGGGCCCATACAGCTGTAGACTCGACGGATAACTAAGGACGGGGCCCAACTGGCCTATGGACAATTGACCTATCATACTACACAATAGGGAGAAGGCTAGGTAACTAAATAGTACGTACCTGGATCCGAAGCTAAGACCGCCCCAAGGCTCGGTCAGGTCGTAGGTAGGTGTAGTGCATGTAAGTGGTGTTTAGTGGTAGTGTTTATTTATGTGACCTGGCCCAGCAGAGGTGACCGGGCAACGGCCTGATCCCATGCTGCCCCCCGATGCTGCATCACTCTAGCAGGCGTCACCAAGTGACCACTTCTTTCTTCATGTCACTATTTCAGTCTATCAACTTTATTGTACATTTAACTAACTTCAACTCAACTAATTCAACGTCCATCGTAAAATCAAACACATGATACCCGACACAAGTAACGAACAGTAGTTCAAAGTTCAATATTCAAGGTTCCGGATTCATTTATCACCAAATTACAAATAGGGAACTAACGCGATCTCTTCACGAGTCACAAAGTTCAGCGTTACAACCAACGACTAAATTCCTTCGTACTATATTAAATACTACGCCGCAATAAGAATTCAAAATCAACCTAGCCGACGCACAAAGTAACTAAAGAGTCAACACACAAAAGACTCTTAACGCGACGGTACAATTGCAACAAAATTACTCTAATCAGTCAAATACAATACAAGCCTCTTGTCACGAACTTACAACTTAGACAAACTAAACCTGGACATCCAGAAGTCGAGTGGGCCTGACGGAATCCCCCCAATTGTGCTGAGGACGTGTGCTCCGGAGTTGGCACCGGTCCTAACGCGTCTTTTCCGGTACTCCTACTCCCAAGGCGTAGTCCCGAATTCATGGAAGACAGCTTTTGTCCACCCGATCCCTAAAAAAGGCGACCGCTCAGACCCGTCCAACTATAGGCCTATCGCGATCACCTCCTTGTTCTCCAAAATAATGGAATCCATTATTAACTGCCAGCTCATCCGGTACCTTGAGGATCACCAGCTGATTAGTGACCGTCAATACGGTTTTCGTCGGTGTCGATCAGCTGGTGATCTTCTGGTCTACCTGACCCATAGATGGGCGGAGGCAGTAGAGTCCAAGGGGGAGGCGTTGGCCGTTAGTCTGGACATTGCGAAGGCCTTTGATCGGGTTTGGCACAAAGCGCTTCTTTCGAAGCTGCCTTCCTATGGGCTTCCCGAGAAATTGTGCAATTGGATCACCAGCTTTCTTGCAGATCGGAGCATCAAGGTCGTTGTAGACGGTGCATGTTCTGACTACAAGCCTATTAACGCTGGTGTTCCACAAGGCTGTGTGCTATCACCAACGCTGTTTCTTCTGCATATCAATGATATGTTGCTAACTGGTAACATTCATTGCTATGCGGATGACAGCACTGGTGATGCTCTATACACCGGCCGGGCCAATATTTCTCGGGAAAACGTCGCCGAGTACCGGAACAAACTTGTGTCTGAAGTCGAGTCTTTGCTGGACAAAGTCTCGGATTGGGGGCGACTAAATCTAGTCCAGTTTAATCCTCAGAAGACACAAGTTTGCGCGTTTACCGCTAAAAAGAACCCCTTTGTCGTATCTCCTCAGTTTCAAGGCACTCCCCTTCTTGCCTCAGCCAGTATCGGTATCCTCGGAGTCGACATATCGAGTGACGTGCAGTTTCGTGGTCACTTGGAAGAGAAGGCCAAATTGGCCTCTAAAAAGCTTGGCGTGCTCAGCAGAGCGGGACAGTATTTCATGCCGGCACACCGCCTGCAACTTTACAAGGCGCAGGTTCGGCCTCACATGGAATACTGTTCCCATCTCTGGGCAGGGGCTCCCCAGTGCCAGCTCCTTCCACTTGACCGCATCCAGCGCAGAGCGGCTCGAATCGTCGACGACCGAGCCCTTTCCGATCGGCTCGATTCATTGGCACTGCGAAGAGATGTTGCATCTCTTTGCATTTTCTTTCGCATCTACCATGGGGAGTGCTCTGAGGAATTGTTCGGATTAATCCCAGCCGCCAAATTTCACGAACGCACATCGCGGCAGAACTCCCGATACCATCCACACCATCTGGATGATTGGCGGTCCACCACTGTGCGATTTAGAAGATGTTTTCTTCCTCGCACAACTTCCTTGTGGAATAGTTTACCACCAGGGATTTTTCCGGACCGATACGACTTAGGGACCTTCAAGAAAAGAGCCTACTCCTTTTTAAAAGGCCGGCAACGCATCTGCAATTCCCCTGGTGTTGCGGTTGTTCATGGGCGGCGGTAGTCACTTACCATCAGGTGAGCCGCATGCTCGTTTGCCTCCTCTCCTATAAAAAAAAAAAAAAAAAAAACCGAGGCGGTCTTCACGAACCACAATTCGGTAGCGAAGTAACGCGCACAAATCCTAAAAATCTAGACCATAAACCCAAAAAACTGGTCGCGCGAAAAATATGCAGCGGTCACTTAAATACGCTACTTGACCGCACCGCTGCTCTAAAGCTACTGTTCTTCGCCCACGAGCGCCAAACGCCGGGAGGCCGCATACCGCTGCCTCCTCCCCGCGACGCGCGTGTCACCTCACACATTGGGCGATTCGCTAAGTCAACGCTATTGGATGTCGTTTCAAATAACCATTTTTGGGCCTAAACAAGTAAGAATACAGCCTCACTATTTTTAATGTGGTTTAAAAACACTCAGATCTAGTTTTTTTTTGTTTTCAGGGACTGCAAGGGTTATTTACTTCCTGACACATTTATTCTCCCCATCCTGCACAAAACTAAATCACCGGACCCAAATACAAGGGGTTTGGACAAAAAGTTCTGGAAATGCAACAGCTGCCAAGACGCCGTGTCTGATGCTGTCATCCAGCAGCTTCTGCAAGACATAGGGCAGGAGTTGAACGTTATGCCCAAAGGAGACGCTGATGCCTGCGAGAGGTTCGTAACTTATTATACTCTTTGACCATGGGTGCTGTAGTGCTCGGAACGTCGATATACACGATAAAATCCTTCAAATCTAGTTTTATATAAATGTGTTGTATTCGCGTAAATATGAGAAATCATTAGAGACCATCATTTTTAATATCGATTTGTACAGTTAAGTTATGTATTAATATTGAAGGATAGGCCTTCAATATTAATACATAACTTAATAATTTCGACCGGGGAAGGACCACGCTCTCGCAGAATATCAGCGTAAAATAGCAGCTCAACGCTGCTGTGTTTCGTATGGTGAGTGTAGAGAACCGGAGACCTTTTTTACTGGAAATGAGGCATTGCATCTTAGTCCTCACGGGTGACAACGCATTTGCATTTTGATTTGTAATAGAGGATAGATGTAGATGTCTACGGGCAGCAGCAACCACTTACCATCAGGTGGACTGTGTGCTCGTTTATCACCCTTATAAAAAACACGTTTTTCTTAGTTTGACTTGTATGTGTGTATGAATGAATGTAACGGAGTTTAATAATTTCTAGCTGTTCCCCGCGACTTCACTCGCGTGTTATTTGTGGTTTTTTTTGCACGGAACCCTATTATTTTTCTAAAATAAAAGTAGCCTAAGTTACTCCTTATGATATCAACTATCTGCCAGTGAAAGTCCCGTCAAAATCTTTCCAGCAGTTTCGGAGATTACCCGGAACAAACAGACAGACAAAAATTTAAAAATTGTATATTTGTTATAAGTACCGTATATACTTTCATATGAATTTAGTAAAAAGCTGTAATTTTGATATTACAATTTATAAAAATTTAGTTGTCACCCATTTAGGGGCGGTCCATTATTTTAACATTATGTGTGTACCAATACGCGAAACTTATTTACGTACTAAAGAGCAATGGAAGACCTCGTCGTAAATTGAGAAATATAAACAAAATAGAAAATAATGATTTCTTACGTTTTTGTGAACACTACACATTGAATGAAAATTGTTTTTTTTTTAAGGATTTTATCATCATTACAGCCCTTCACAAGTCGACTGCTGAACAAAGGCCTAGCCCAAGGAATGCCTCAAAGCACGGTCCTGTGCCACTTGCATCCATCGACCAATTGAAAAGGAAAGATGGTTTCTCATAGCCCGTCCTGCAGCAGAGATCAACCAATTAGTGACCTTTGATTCACAGATCCTAATACACACACCCCGTTGGGTTCGGGAACAATGAGGTGGGCGTCACCCCTGAGGAAGTGCGCCACTTAGAGCTCGTCCGTTCCTTCTCAAAAGAAAGGTTAGACGACTAAGATTACGGGTCCCTATGGAATGGTCCCGGTCTTGACGTCAGTCATCAGTGGACTGTATTTTCATGGGTTGCTGACTGGTCTTGTTAAATAAAACATCTGTTATTCTTCATAAACCCTCCTTTGGAGATGCGACATTGAAAATTTCACTGACTTACTACTTTCTTTATCACTTTTTCCTTATTGCTTTCTTTCTTGAGTTAAAACTGGAAACTGATTTTATCGTGTATATCAATTTATTTTATATTGCCGACGTTTCGAATACTTTACAGCACCCATGGTCACGGGAGGTATGAGGTGTCCGACGTCCTCATGTTAAAAAGGCTACACGGCACCTTCAGTTTATAATTATCTTGCGCTCAAGCTTTGGCGATAAAGTTATTTCTGTATTCGTTTAAATTACTTGGAACTAACCGCGCCAATAATTTTGTTGACACTATTTCGACACCGAAGATCGATTAATTCTAGTTTTCAGAAGTTTACCTTTGTATATGTCTAATGATCTACCTTAATGTCAACTTTCGTGTTTCTAAGTAACCTAGAAGCAAACTAGGTTTTTTATGAGACAGCGAGTGATAAAAGTGGCACTTTTAGACCGTATTAACACAAGAATGAGAGTTAATAATCTTATGCTCACCAGATGTCGCTAGTTTGGACTAAGCTGTACAGATTTGTTACGCAGATGATCATACAGTGTCATCATCATTGAAAAGTTGCGATGTAATTATAAGTTTTGTAGTGTACCTATACAAAAGAACCCCAGTGCTGTATTGTTTTATTTTTTACATATTTTTAACTTTTACTTTTTTAATTCTTATAGGTACTTTACGAATATAATTAGGTTGGTTTAACCATTTCTAATTAAATTCATATAAAATATAACTTATATTTTTTTTTATAGGAGAGGGGGCAAACGAGCATGCGGCTCCCTTGATGGTAAGTGACTACCGCCGCCCATGAACAACTGCAACACCAGGGGAATTGCAGATGCGTTGCCGGCCTTTCAAAAAGGAATAAGCTCTTTTCTTGAAGGTACCTAAGTCGTATCGGTCCGGAAAAATCGCTGATGGTAATCGATTCCACAAGGAAGTTGTACGAGGCAGAAAACATTTCCTAAATCGCACAGTGGTGGACCGCCAATCATCCAGATGGTGTGGATGGTATCGGGAGTTCTGCCGCGATGTGCGTTCGAGAAATTTGGCGGCTGGGATTAATCCGAACAATTCGTCAGAGCACTCCCCGTGGTAAATGCGAAAGAAAATGCAAAGGGATGCAACACCTCTTCGCAGTGCCAATGAATCGAGCCGATCGGAAAGGACTCAGTCGTCGACGATTCGAGACGCTCTGCGCTGGATGCGGTCAGGTGGAAGGAGCTGGCACTGGGGAGCCCCTGCTGAGAGATGGGAACAGTATTCCATGTGAGGCCGAACCTGCGCCTTGTGAAGTTGCAGGCGATGTGCTGGCATGAAATACTGTCCCGTTCTGCTAAGCACGCCAAGCTTTTTAAAGGCCAATTTGGCCTTCTCTTCCAGGTGACCACCGAACTGCACTTCACTCAATATGTCGACCCCGAAGATTCCTATACTGGCTGAGGCAACAAGGGGAGTGCCTTGAAACTGAGGAGATACAACAAAGGGGTTCTTTTTAGCGGTAAACGCGCAAACTTGTGTCTTCTGAGGATTAAACTGGACTAGATTTAGTCGCCCCCAATACGAGACTTTGTTCAGCAAAAACTCGACTTCAGACACAAGTTTGTTCCGGCACTCGGCGACGTTTACCCGAGAAATATTGGCACGGCCGGTGTATAAAGCATCACCAGTGCTGTCATCCGCATAGCAATGAATGTTACCAGTTAGCAACATATCATTGATATTGTGACGCCTCATAATTATTATTAATAAATAATAATTAAATTCATTATACAGACATTTAAAAATGTCATAGAAATTATAATTTAAACAATTAAATGCAAATAATAAGCATAAAGTTCAAAAATATCCATTTGGAATATTGAATATTATAATATTAGTAAACGCATAAAATGTCTCTAAAAATCTCTAAATTTATTAAAAACCTGCTTAAAATGTTCAAAATATATCAAATCATATAAATACAAGGCGATTATATTGCAATAACAAAGATAAATAACATTTGTAATATAATAGAAAAAATGGATTAAAATTTTCTAAGTTGATGAAGGTGTTCGTGTAATAATTAGAAAATTTCTAAGTTAATGAACGTGTTCTTGTAATGTTCCCTTATATTGGGGCGTTGTCGGAGACACATGCCCAAGGTTGTACATATATATGGGGTGGTCGGCTGACCGACTGCTAGTACTAAGGTTGCACAATGACTAGTCCTATATTAGGGACTTAACATAGTAAGGTCTGACGAACCAAAGCATTAATATAGAAGGTCTCTATGATGCATAAGCATTATGATAGCAGAGTTATGACTTGAAGTCCCATATGAATAAGACATACAGTAGTATGGTCTATGAAACAAAGCAAATATGTGGAAGGTCTCAAATATGTAAAAGCATTATATTGAAAGAAATGGGACTTGAAAAGGATTATTATAGTGGCGTGTAGGTTGCTTCGCAGCCTCTGAGACCGAGGTAAACTTGGACTCACTAACCGATGTGTCCTAGACATATCATCTTAGTGCCGGTGGTAAGCGGGTTTGTTGTAGCAATACGACTTGCCCGTGAACATCGCACACCCCTACCGGTTGTGGGCGTCGTCTTAGCGCATAGCGTTATGATACGTCGGCTATCTTTCGGATTAGGGTGAGTGTGTTTGGTAGTACTTTTAAGTGCAGCAAGCATACTCAACTTCATGTCTTAGTGCAATAGCGCTATGATACGTGGAGTTTTGGCTACTTACGTCTTAGTACCGTACTACTATGATACGTTAGTGGTATTTTTAGTTAACAACATTATCAAATTTTGTTACCAAAGTCGATAGGGATCATGTGGGTGTGTTGTGAGGGGGCGCCATCCGTATGATAGTTGCATTGATGCTTACTGCTACTTGCAGTATTGTGTCTTGTGATGGATCTGCGGGTGTGCTGCACCTGATTCGATGCATCTTGTGGTTCTGGTCGATGGAGGTATGCGGGTGGTGATGTCTGCTGGGACTGTATGGGGGACCTTGGGATGGTGTAAGCCCGACGATAGTCGTGTTGATGCTTGTTGCATTCTGTAGCATTGCGTCTCTACGATGGTTGTTTGGCGGGTCGCTATTCTCAATGGCGCTCACTGCGTCTTGGTTTGACTCACAACCTAAGTAGCTTTGCCCAAGTCGGGTCCCTTCATTGCGGGGCTGCAGACTGTCTGCCCTCCATGATGTTTTATATAACAACTTAATAATATATCTCTATAAAGTTCCCACCTTTGAGAGATTGAAGGCAACTTGTTGGTGGGTGAGACAAACATGATCGAAAAATGCATATACTCAACGTCAGTGACACAAACCCTTTCTGATGGCGAATTATTAATATTATCTTATAACTGCCTATTGGCTATATCTGCCATTGTATTGGTTGGTGGAGCATATGTGTTGACCTCATGCGGGTGGTAGCTGGAGGGAGAATCTGAGGAGGCTCTCAAGGCTGCGGCCGAAAGCCGCGCAACGTGGGACCCCATTCCCTTGAGGTGAGCGGTAGACTCATGACACGCTCTGCGGCCAATTGGCCGTGCTGACCATGCAATTGGTGGTGATGCCTTACACTTACATCACGTCTGCAGGAACGGCGGTCTGGCAGGTGGTGGCGCTCACGGAAGGCTTTTTATGGTCAGTGTGCCGATTGTTGCCTAACCCGTGTGACGTACATTTCACTGTGGCTGGATTTGATCGTATTCTGTATGGCGTTTACACGCATTGACATGCGCGACTTCGGTCGATTTTTGTGCTTACGCACTATCAAGGGGCCAAGTCCTCTTTTACTGGTTCGCCAGTTATTTTGCTGTGGACTACGGTCCAGTTCCCAACTTTGCGTACCCTTCGGGGGGAGCGCATTAAAATGGTTGGCGCTCACCGTGCGCGGCGTGTGTGGGGCCGTGTACCTCCTCCACATTTTTTTTAAAATGTGGGAGAGCGAAGCCCTTGTAACTGGTATTTGATATAAATATTGTGAGCCTTTTCCAAGCGGGAAGGGATTAATTAATAAGGAATTGACTGTTGTGAACCAGATACAAGTGGAATAGGGACAATTTATTGTTCTTAACCTTTTTGAGCTCTGTCTTCGTGAACGGGGTTCTCTAGCTTATAAGACTCTACCAACAGCTTTCGATTGCTCTCGTGAATATTCATTCTTCCAAGATACACCTAAAAGAACTAAGTTACTATACAAACACAACGTAAAAAAGGCTCCTAACTAAGACGATCACGCCATAAATTTATTAAACGGCCTATATTTAAACCTTTAGAAAGATCAAGTTATACTGGTCACGTAAATTAGATATATTTATATATCTTACAGATATAGATTCTAAAGAAATACAAGTATAAGTGGATATATAGTAGAAGAGAAAAAAGATGGGGGGGGGGGTTCGTTACAATATGCAGAAGAAATAGCGTTGGTGATAGCACACAGCCTTGTGGAACACCAGCGTTAATAGGCTTGTAGTCGGAGCATGCACCGCCTGCAACGACCTTGATGCTCCGATCTGCAAGGAAGCTGGTGATCCAATTGCACAATTTCTCGGGAAGCCCATAGGAAGGGAGCTTTGAAAGAAGCGCTTTGTGTGAAACCCGATCGAAGGCCTTCGCAATGTCCAAACTAACGGCAAACGCCTCCCCCTTGGACTCTACTGCCTCCGCCCATCCGCAGAGATTGTGATCCTTGGCGATTTTAACGCCCACCACGCCCAATGGCTCAGTTCACGTTTAACCGATAATGCGGGTAGATCTGTTTATGTCTTTGCCTTGGCATATGGTCTGACACAACTGGTTACTTCGCCTACGCGGATTCCAGATGTGGAGGATCATACACCTTCCTTGTTGAACCTTCTGCTGACCTTTCATCCGGACGGATATCAGGTTTCCGTCGTATCGGCTCTTTGGACCATTGTCTGTTGCGGAGTGTGGTGTGTTACTCACGCTCCCCTCGCGGTTGCGTTCTGCAGGTTGCCGCCGTGTTTGGTATTACAGGTCGGCGGATTGGGACGGAATGTGGTCTTTCTTTGCATCTTACCCATGGGGGCGGGCTTGCTTCTCGCCGAATGATCCCAGCGCTGTTGCTGACTCTGTCACTGATGTGGTGCTACAGGGAATGGAAGTATTTATTCCATCATCTGTGGTACTCATCGGAGGCAGCTTAGCCTTTGTTTAGTCGCTCCTATAAGACTGTATTACGCACTAAGCAGGAGTGTTATTAAGCCTGAGCTGCGGCTTCTGCGACTCAGGATGTAAACACCAGCATGCTTAAAAAGAAGTATATCTTTGCCTCCAGGTCCTTCAAAAGAGTTATTGCCAAGGCAAAGTCAGAGCACATAGGCAGAATTGGCGAGAAACTAGTTCGCCTTTCTTCGGGAACCCGTGCATTCTGGTCTCTCGCCATGACTATCCAAGGGAATTTCTGTAAGCCATCACTACCATCTCTGCACAGGGAGGACGACTCACTGGCCCACGTCGCAAAAGAGAAAGCCGACCTTTAAGGCTCCCTTTTTGCGTCCAACTCGACTCTTGATGACGGGGAGAACACACCGCCGACCATCCCACGGTGTCAGTGCTCCATGCCGGATGTGCGGTTCTCACAGCGCTCGGTTCGCAAAGCACTCCTCTCCCTGGCCATCCACAAGTTGAGTGGGCCTGACGGAATCCCCCCAATTGTGCTGAGGACGTGTGCTCCGGAGTTGGCACCGGTTCTAACGCGTCTTTTCCGGTACTCCTACTCCCTAGGCGTAGTCCCAAAATCATGGAAGACAGCTTTTGTCCACCCGATCCCTAAAAAAGGCGACCGCTCAGACCCGTCCAACTACAGGCCTATCGCCATCACCTCCTTGTTCTCCAAAATAATGGAATCCATTATTAAAGAAAGATACATTAATCTATACACTTTTTTAACAAATTAACTTCTCCCGCTATGAAATCTGTCAAATATTATACATATTTTCTTCTGGCGCCGGCCTGTTGGAAAAAAATGTTGTGGATTATAAGTAGGTTTTTTCATAAAATTATTTATTATTAGGTATGCAAAATAACAAGTTTGTGAGTCTAATCTTTTTTGAGTTATGGGGGGTTCACACGGAGCCCAAAATGTTTCGTGTAAATAGACATATGCTCTGTCGGTGCTTCGCTTACTTTTCCGAATTTTGCTGACTCACGGCCGTGCGCCTTTAAGATAACAAAGACAACAAATGTCATACGACCTTGACAATGGTATGCAAACGCTGTATTGTCTAACAAACCTCTCACAGCACGAGCAGGAAATTAAGGAAATTAAGCGATATTTACTCTGCATTATGAGGACTGCTAATCAGCCGTAGTAATAGAGATACTAAGCGCTCGCCGTAAATTTCACAGAACACGGATAACCCGAGTTCGATTCACGCCGGCACCAATGTGATTTTTAATTGCAATTTCAAGTGCTGATTTACCAAGTGCTCGGCGGGGAAGAAAACGACGTAAGGGTGCGTTCAGACTACACGCGCCCGCTACGTGAACGCCCCGCGCGTCAGCACCCGCGACTAACTCGCTTTGTGGGACAAAACCCTTGAAAATTATAAAAATAAAAGGAAAACTTTACAGGCCTGGCGTTTATACATATAGTATGCAATTATAACTTAATTTTAACTTAGTTGAATCCACTTTGTTGCTCGCGTGCTGACATTGTGACATCTGGAAGTCACTAGATCACTGCACTAGTTGTATAAGCGGACGCGAGGCGTGCGTGTGCAGGTCCTGGGCGTGGTCGGCGCGGGTCATATGAACATGCCCTAAGGAAACCCGCGTCTCTGCGAATTCAGGAACGTATCTAGGCTAAAACTTTTTTTTTCAGTGTATATCTCACACAGACACTTACTCTCATCTTTACTTGCACTTATAGCACTTCTATTAATTTAAATAAAATTTAAGTGTTTGTCTGTAATATAGAAATAAGTGCCCCATGTCATTAAGACATGAATAACCATTTGCAAAAATGTTCTCTGTCTGTCTGTTTCTCCGGGCTTATCTTGGGAACGGCTGAACCGATTGTAACAAAACTTTACACACAGATAGAGAGCAATGCCAAGAGTAAACTAGGCTATATTTTATGAGAAAAACTCGGAGAATTAACCAATTTTATAAAATGGTAAATGGTATATTAACGCTACTAATAGTCGCTAATATTAGTCGAATCGATTTCAGACGAAGGCGGGGCGGGTCGCTAGTATACAATAGTATATAAATTAGTAAACATATATAATAATAATAATAAAATAAAGATAAATAAATTACATCAATAGTACGAGAGCAATTAGTTAAAAAATTTGAATGTCCCACCCACATGCATAAGGATCCAATGCCTCTGAATGGGACAGTGATATATCCTCTAGACACCATTTAAACTCTTCCGTAGTCTGCATAACATTGTCGCAGTTTGCTTTCTTATGATGCCATAAAAATCATCAACACCTGCTTCAGCAAACATGCTTGAAGCACTACAGTATCAAGGCCCATTAGCATCCTGAAGGCATTATTATATGTATTGAATTCGAAGCGTATTGTTGTAGGTCCTCTGCGTAAAGTCACACTATACATCATATATATTGGAAGAAGCTGTAGATTTTTATTTTATAGAATAGGGTTGACAAACGAGCACATAGTCCATCTGATGGTAAGTGGATGCTGTGGCCTATAGACATCCACATTGATCCTCTAGAATCGAAATGCAGATGCGATGTCACCCTTGAGGACTAAGATGGAATGCCTCGTTTTTTGTAAAAGGGGTCTCCGGTTCTCCACACTCACTATACGAAACACAGCAGTATTAAGCTGCTATTTTACGCTGCTATTCTGTGAGAACGTGGTCCTTTACTTTACTTATATATTACGAGTATTACGTTATTTACTTGTGAGCCATACAAATGCTTTCATTGACGTTAATCTATCAATACACTAGGTTCGTCGACCATTGCTCCAGCTATCTGCATCCCTCGCATTTCTATATGACTGATGTAAGCCTGGCGCTGGCCCAGATGATCGGCCAGGACACGCTGGGCCTAGCAGCGGTCAGCGACGAAAGGCTTCTCCTCAAAACGCAGCTCTGCAAGAAAATCGCTGACTTACTGGAAACCTTAGCTCCTGGTGAGAATTAATCTATACATCTATACACATACAGTCACATACACAGCCTGTCGATATTATATATATCGAAATAACTGCCTTTTATTGAACTCGAGGGGTTATTTGCACGTCATTCGATCGCTACCAAGCTATTCCTAAATTGTTTTGTGTGGTTAATTGTGTAACATACTTGATTATAAGTTATTATATTTTTAAAAATGTCCCGCTGGCTTTCTTGCTGGTTCTTCCCAGGACAGCTGTTTTTTTCGAACTAGTGGTAATTAAACAAAAGAGTGACTTAAGTATTATTTATAATCTATCTTATGGATGGTACGCGGTACAATATTTGTGCACGCCACCGATCACAAAGTTCACAATGAAGTAATAAATTACGAACGAACGCGAGTGATGCTACGCAACGGAGTGTTCGGGCGCGGCGGTAATCACGAAGTAAATAATATTTTACACACACGTCTATGGCTTAAACATTTCTTTAGAAAAATGGCACGTTGATACATAAAGGTTCACCACCCCTGACCTATATTGAATAAAAAGTTTCTGTTTATGTTTCTACGAGGGCGGCACTAAAAATTTCGGGAATCTAGGAAGTGACACAACATTACTATTTAAAAATGTATTTATTGCTTTTCGAAGTATTCTCCGCGAAATTTGACACATATTCCATACGATGGAACCAATCATTGAAGCAACCATTCCATTCGGAAGTTGGGGTCTCCAAAATGACCGTTTTGTAGGCGTTCACAGCTTCTTCAGGTGATGAAAATCTCTGTCCACGCAATTTATTTTTTATTTTAGGGAAAGTATAGAAATCATTAGGGCTTAGGTCGGGGCTGTACGGCGGATGGTCTAATAATTCTATGTTTTCTTGCTCTAAAAACACTTTTGTTCTGTGTGCGGTGTGAGAACTCGCATTGTCGTGATGGAAGATGATGCGGCGGTTGCAGTTCTCTTTACGGAGTTCAGAAACGACCTGTGGCAAACAAATGCTAGCATACCATTCTGCATTAACCGTTCTTTATCCCTCAAGAGGAATAGTCGTAACATGGCCGGTTTTGGAGACAAACGTGGCCACCATCCTTTTTGCAACACTCCGTGAACGAACAATTTTTGTTGGCTTTAACTCATTTTCGAACACCCATACTCGTGAAGTCTTTGCCAGAGATCTGTCTGCCAGAAAGAGCCAACTGTCAAAGCTGAAGACCGAATGTGGCAGCATCGTTTCCGGGGCACCTGAGATTTTGAGTGAGATTGAGAAGTTCTATGGGCAGCTGTACACGTCATCGTTGGAGCCGCACGCAAGTGTGAGTAACGATCCAAGAGCGAGTCCTATCCTACATTATTCCGATGATATCCCGGACGTCAGTCTGAGCGAGATTAGAATGGCTCTCCAGCACCTTAAAAACGGCAAGGCCCCAAGCGAGGATGGAATTACAGCGGAGCTTCTGAAAGCGGGTGGAAAACCGGTAATTGAAGTCCTTCAGAAGCTCTTTAATTCTATCCTCCATGGTGGCATTACACCGGAGGCGTGGAGCAGAAGTGCGGTGGTCTTGTTCTTCAAGAAAGGCGATAACGCTCTTTTGAAGAACTACAGACCGATTTCCCTTCTGAGCCGCGTCTACGTGCTGTTTTCGAGAGTCATTACGAATCGTCTCGCGCGCAGACTTGACAACTTCCAGCCTCCCGAACAAGCCGGTTTCCGAAAGGGCTTTAGCACCATAGACCACATACATACCCTTCGGCAAATTGTACAGAAGTCCGAGGAGTACAATTTGCCACTATGTCTGGCGTATGTGGACTATGAGAAAGCCTTTGATTCCGTCGAAATTTGGGCGGTGCTGCAGTCCCTTCAGCGGTGCCAAGTTGACTGTCGGTATATCGAAGTGTTGAAGTGCTTGTAGAGTAGGGCTACGATGGCTATCCGAGTACAGAACCAGAGTACGAAACCTATCCAATTGCAGAGAGGTGTAAGATAGGGTGACGTCATATCCCCGAAACTCTTTACCGCTGCATTGGAAGATGTTTTCAAGCTTCTGGACTGGAAAGGATACGGTATCAACATCAATGGCGAGTACATCACTCACCTTCGATTTGCCGACGATATAGTCCTTATGGCAGAATCACTGGAGGACCTAAGCACTATGCTCAATGACCTCAATAGTGTTTCCCAACGGATAGGTCTTAAGATAAACATGGACAAAACAAAGATCATGTTTAATGTCCATGTCACACCTATGCCGGTAGTTGCTGGGAACACTAAGCTCGAAGTTGTTGACGAGTATGTTTACCTGGGACAAATAGTCCGACTAGGTAAGTCCAACTTCGACCGAGAGGTCAATCGACGGATTCAACTCGGTTGGGCAGCGTTCGGGAAATTACGGCACATCTTCTCGTCAGGTATACCTCAAAACTTGAAAACGAGACTGTACACCCAGTGCGTGTTGCCAGTGATGACATACGGAACTGAGACGTGGTCCTTCATTGCTGGCCGGATGAGGAAGCTCAAGGTCGCTCAGCGAGCTATGGAGAGGGCTATGCTCGGAGTTTCTCTGCGTGATAAACTCAGAAATGAGGATATCCGCAGTAGAACCAGAGTGACCGACATAGCCCAACGGATTAGTAAGCTGAAGTGGCAATGGGCCGGTCATATATCTCGAAGAACCGACAACCGATGGCGAAGAAAGGTTCTCAAGTGGCAGCCTCGTACCGGCAGGCGAAGTGTAGGGCGTCCCCCCACTAGATGGAGTGACGACCTGGTAAGATATGCAGGAAGTCGATGGATGCAGGTGGCTCAGGACCGTGCTTTGTGGCATTCTTTGGGGGAGGCCTATGTTCAACAGTGGACTTGTGAAGGGCTGTAATGATGATGATGATGATGAAACTCGTCTGGTTTTTTGTTTGGATTCGTCACCTGATACGATGTTGTATACAGCATTTGAGGATCCTGCGTGGAATCTTTCGAGAGTTCTGATGCACCAAGTAACGCGAGCCGCTTTTTGCTCTTCACAGGGCGAATGCGGTATCCATCGGGAAAACAACTTTTTTACACTTAATTGTTCATGCAAGATTATTTGTATTTGACTCATGCCAATGTCTAAAGTTGCCTGAATTTCGCGGTATGTCACATGTCGATGTTCCTCAATCAGCTTACGCACAGCATCAACGTTTTCTTGGGTGACTGCAGTTTTTGGACGACCTTGACGGGGATCCTGACTGAGCTTGACACGTCCACGTTGAAATTCAGCAAACCAGCGATAAATTGTGTTTCTGGATGGGGCTTCATCACCAAATGCAGAAATCATCCCGTCAACACACTGTTTTTGTGTTAAACCACTTCGAAAGTCATAATAAATCATCGCTCTTGAATTTTCTCGAGTCAATTCCATTTTCTCAACGACTAAACAAGTTTGACAAAACCTTGTGACAAGACCGAGAATCTTTTTTTACAATAAATAAATGGTATTCGATTTTTAAAACCAAGGAGTTTTCAATTAAAAAGATTTTAATATGACAGGAACAGTGGAAATATTCCATTACCGATACTTTTAGTGCAGCCTATGTATTAAGACATAAATAAGCATTGTGAAAAATTTCGTGTGTCTGTCTGTTTATTCGCGATATTGTTCATAATGGCTAAACCAATTATAATGAAACTTAACAAAAAGATAGAGAGTAATGCCAGAAGTGATCTAGGTTATATATTTTACGAAAAACTTGGAGATTTAGTCTGAGAAATCGAAACATTGATAAAATAAATGACCTTGATTATCTTAAATCTACAAGAACGCCGAAATAATAGGCCCCACCCAGACGAAGCCGTGGCGGGTCTAAACGGAACTAAAAGTTCTATGTGGGCTGGTAAATTGATGTTCATAGCTCTTGTATGCTGCTTGGGTAGTTAACAAAGGCTACAGTCAATCTTAAATATTATAATTTATATTTAAATGTGTAGTATTCGTGTAAGTTTTACCCCAGTGCCAGCTCCTTCCACTTGACCGCATCCAACGCAGAGCGGCTCGAATTGTCGACGACCGAGCCCTTTCCGATCGGCTCGATTCATTGGCACTGCGAAGAGATGTTGCATCCCTTTGCATTTTCTTTCGCATCTACCATGGGGAGTGCTCTGAGGAATTGTTCGGATTAATCCCAGCCGCCAAATTTCACGAACGCACATCGCGGCAGAACTCCCGATACCATCCACACCATCTGGATGATTGGCGGTCCACCACTGTGCGATTTAGAAGATGTTTTCTTCCTCGCACGACCTCCTTGTGGAATCGATTACCATCAGCGATTTTTCCGGACCGATACGACTTAGGGACCTTCAAGAAAAGAGCCTACTCCTTTTTAAAAGGCCGGCAACGCATCTGCGATTCCCCTGGTGTTGCGGTTGTTCATGGGCGGCGGTAGTCACTTACCATCAGGTGAGCCGCATGCTCGTTTGCCCCCTCGCCTATAAAAAAAAAAGAAAGTATATGAAGTCATTAAATACGTTTTTCTGATTACAGCTGAAAATAGACTTCGAGGTTCCTTGCTATTTGAACTGCACGCCGCGGTAGCAGAGACCGGAAGAAGGAAGTCTTTGACGGATGGTCCGATGGTTCTACTTGGATATGTAACCGTAAGTTAAAAAAAAATTCAATGCGCCAACAAAATAAAAATACATTCAACGTGTATTCAACGTGGCAAGGTGTTAAGACAGTTTTATTGATATTAATATAGCTTTTTTATGGAATAAGAGTGACAAACGAGTACACAGTTCACCTGAAGGTAAGAGGATGCTGCGGTCCTTAGATATCTATATCTATCATCGATCAAGAAACAAAATGCAGATGCGTTGTCGTCCTTTAGAACTAAGCTGGAATACCTCGTTTCTGGTTAAAGGTAACGTTTGATTCTATGAATTAAATTTGTATGGGGGGTAAATAAATATATAAATATATTTCTATTGTTTTATAGTCTGGTTGAGATGCATAAATACTTTTAAGAATATATAAATATAATAAATACACTATAAACTATAAAATAATAGAATAAATAGAATATACTTTATAGAATAAATGTAACAAAATATAAATAAATAAATGTAAAACCCAACCTGACGGGAGCCTTCGGCAGGGGGACGAAACGGCCGACGATAAAAGGGAAAGGGAAGGAAACGGGCAGACGATACGGGCGGTATCGATGAGCACCGCCTTCTGCATTTCAGCCCGGAGCGGTCAGTCACGAAGTCACAGTCGCCTCAGATGACCCGAGAAACTGACCGGGATAATAAGCCTTTTGCATGAACGACTCTATAATTACGTGTCGGTCACTTCGTGAGCGAGGTTCAGAAGCGGAAATTATTTATTTTGGTTAACTACAAATGGAGTACAAAAAAGTAAATTATATTTATATACATTTTTGATACAAAACAGTATTTAAAACCAATTATGACGTTTCAGGAGTCGCGTAAGATCCTCCAGGAGTCCGCGGCGCTGTTACGTCACGAACCACCAGAATTGCCAGAAGGGCAATTGTCTCGCCAGGCCAAGATTAACTTAGTTCAGATGGACGAGCTCATTAGGAACCTTTCATCGGCTCTACCATCTCCTTTATGAACTCAATAAAACATTCTGATTTATTATATATTCGTTCATTCATTCATATTCATTCACTCATTCATTCATTACAACCTATTAAAAGTCTACTTCTGCCTTTCCCATAAATTGTCTTGCAGTTGTCGAGGAACTATTTGGTAACCGTAGTTTTTATAAACTACTAGCTGACCCGGCGAACTTCGTACCGCAACGTTACCATTGTATAAATATTGACAAATATTTATACGATACGATATAATATTTATACGATACTAACGTCACTCAATTGTTTTGCCTTCCCGGAACCCCTCCACTAACACTTAAACTTTATGGTATGGTATTATTATAGTATTATAATTATGGTTTTATATATATTATGGTATTATTATAGAATTATAGTATTATTACGAATCTTTTGTATGGGAATATAGAAGAGTGTTGTTTTTAGACTTTTTCAGGCAATTATTTTTTTAATTTTCTCTCCGTAAGAACCATCTTTGTACTTCAAGGAATATTATAAAAAAAGAGTTAGCGAAATAAGTTCAGCTGCTCTCGAGATTTGCGCTTAGCAACACATTCAGCGATTCATTTTTATATTATAGATTATTGAGCTGTTATCAGGAAGACGCTGCTGCCCAACTCCTGCTTCAATTTCCCTCTGCCGCCTCTTACTATACACACAGGATCATATGGGGTAGTGAGTATTCTTACACCGCCACTACACGGTAATATTAGTATATAAAAAACGTAAAGTTACAGCTTATTTACGTCCAATCACTGGGCACAGGCCTCCTCTCATTTCTCAAAGGGTATTTAGGGCAAGGAAGTGTCCGCCGCGCTGACCCAATGCGTATTGGCGAACTTCATATGCCTTAGAAATATATTTATTAAATATATTTCTTCTTATTTCTCAGACATGCAGGTTTCCTCATGATGTTTTTCTTCACCGCCGAGCACGAGGTAAATCAGCACTTAAAATTGCACTTAACAATTATATATGTATATACATTTAATTATATATATATATATATATGTGTGTGTGTGTGTGTGTGTACCTAGTATCGGTTCAAATTTACATACTACGTTTAGTTTTTACTTCTTTATATAACTGCTATGGCCATACCATTAATGACGTTAGTTAGTTCTAAAAATGCTATGACAGTATTGTATGTTTAATTTACGAAATCTCATATCGTATACATGATGATTTTATCTCACCATTTGTATAATTTGACGGATTACAAGGTAGGAAACTTACGGATTACTCGTCGGTCGGAGGCAGTAGTCTATAGGTCCGACAAATTGATGTGCTATTCTACATGGTGGAGCTACGCTGCAGCTATATTATGGTTGTTGTATGAATGGGTCGGCTCGACCGGGGAAGGACCACGCTCTCACAGAATACCAGCGTAAAATAGCAGCTTAATTCTGCTGTGTTTCGTATGGTGAGTGTAGAGAACCGGAGACCCTTTTTACTGGAAACGAGGCATTCCATATTAGTCTTCAGGGTGACAACGCATCTACATTTTGATTCGCAAACGAGGATATATGTAGATGTCGATGGGCTTTGTTATCCACTTACCATCATGTGGACTGTGTGCTTATTTGTTACCCTTATTATATAAAAAAAAACTTATAATCCGACACCGCCATGCAACACACACTTGTCGGATTACCGCGGGAAGAATGTAGTCGACAAAATATTTCTGGTAATGTAACCTCAATTTAGTTTTGATTTTGTTATTACGCGTTGTATAGACATTTTATTTGTCGTTACACAATGTTTATTATCTTTATGGATGATCTTAAACACGTAAATACACGCAGGAAATGTTTTGTTCTCTGTAATTTATTATTATTTATTTTTGGATCTTCATTAAAGATATACTTAGTTTACATAGCTTCGTATCGTTGTACTAATGAAAACTATTATTACAACGATACGAATTTACGTATTTTGTTGTTTGTTTGTAGGTATGCTTGACGTCTTGCGTTCTACTTACCTACATACTATGGGTCCAACCCGTTGGTAATATGTGACAAACATGTTATTGGGATAATATGTAGTGTTATGCTTACCGTATATTTACACTGTATCCAACAAAATGTTTTGCACTACGGCTAAAAACCGAAGTGCGTTTACACCTAGGTTTAGCTAGCTAGTTGGTTACAACAAGATGCAGCCCATTATTTAGCTTTTATAGTTATTCTATTTCACGATGAAGTTTTGACTATGGTTGTTGTTATCCGTGCACATACACATTGTGTTAGTGTGCGTAGGCTGCGGGCGCTCGAGAGTAGCCATGAAGCAAATACAAAGAGGAGACGACAAAAGCAACTGTGCACTGTGATTCTAAGTAGGTCCTGACGTCATCATAGTGGGCGTGGCTTTAGTTAATATACTGTTAGCATTCGTCCTGTGCACTTATGTGTTGAAGATCGCAAATCGGTGTATTTCGTAGTATTAAGAAGAAAAGGATGAAGTGTTGTGTTTTATCGTGTAAAAACTACTCACATAGACGCTCTGATGCTATGGATGGCATCACATTTCATTTGTAAGTAATTTTACACAGAAATATCTCTTTGCGTCGGCTTTCAAATATAATTAAATATATTCTACACTAGATGACGACACTTTGTGTTATGTGAACTAAAAATATAAAGGTACGTAGACCTCAGTATTGGTAAAATAATCATACGAAGGTGCTGAAATTTGTTTTGCATTCAGTCCTAAATAATTTTTAATCGCCAAAATATTATTTTTATAGCTTTTATAATCATTTTGTGAACAGTCCGCTATCTATCGTCAAGGTAGCTAAGCTACATTGCAACATCGATATCGAACGATTCGAGTAGTTTTACTATTTATCGGTAGATGTAGATAGTAAAGTGGGCGGGGCTTGTCACGCGTAGTTACATAGTGAAATCTAATTACAGCACCTCCTCTTTGTATTTGCTTCATGAGAGTAGCGCTCCCGAGGCCTACGCACTCTGAGACATGAACACCTCTCTCTCTCTCTCTCTCTCTCTCTGACGACTTAACCATTTGTAGACACTATGTAGATTCAAATGAGCATAGTGCTAAGTTTTAAATCATCACAATATTCGGGATACTAGAAGTTATAAAGTCTGTGTCCGAGACGGTTCGTAATGAATCTCGAAAACAGTATGTTGATGTAGTTAGAGGGTCTAATCGTCTATTTTGATTAACACGATACTTTGTTCCACTTTTGCTTGTATTCCACAGTTGTTACGTAGGGCCAAGTGGAAGAGCAAAATTAAACAACTCCCAAAAAACATTAAATACCGATTCTCCACTTAGGTACTTGCAACAGCGCTGTTCAGCACCAGGTTACCGTTATTAAGATGCTTCTCAGAATCTCTCAAATCTCTAATTAGCATGTAGAGATTTTACTTTGAAAGTAAAAGTGCATCTGCTGGTTCTTCCATTGACTTGTAAATATACTACGAGACTTTCAAGTGTTACTAAAGAAACTTTTATTTTAAATCTCCTATATAACATAATATAAAAAAATTCTGACCCCCTTCCCGATGGGTCAAAAATCAAAATTTAAGTATCAAGTCATCTTTAAAAGATTCTAATATTACCTAACCATAGTTTATTGTCAATAGACTTTGTATCCAAGGTTTTATGACATTAACTAACTTACTAATCTTTTTACAATTCTGGCTTACATTCGTTGATTCGGTGAGATTATTGACGTATGTAATTTTTGGCGCCATCGTTCCCATGTTTGAATTTGTATTATCGGAAAACGCTCCTTTATTTGAATAGTACCAGTAAAAGCATAGACAATATATAATAGCTAAAAGAAAAATCTTATAATTTTAATCTATATTTTAAACATTTTTTTAAAATATTTTTCGGGAAAAATGCTTAAAAATTGCTATCCCCAATAACTGTTAAAATTCTAAACATATTAGGTATAACTTTAACTAGGAGAAAGATAGAGAGATACATTTTTTATTTATTTAAATATCAGCCTATAAAAGTCCACTGCTGAACAACGACCTTCTCCAAATATTGCCACTCATTGGGAGGAGAAAAAAGACAGATAGACATAAGTTATTTCTTGGAAAGGATGCAAAAATAATATTTAACGTATTTTACTACATAAAATAACAATGGTAATACATAGGGCGAAATGTTTTAAGTATTTTATCGCGTTTAATTTAAAATTTTCTTCAATTCCCGTAATTTAAGTGCTTTACAGTACCCACGGTTACAGGTTAGGATAAAAGCATAGAATTATTATATTCTATGGTTAAAAGTAAACATGACGAAATCTGCAAAGTAAGTTATATTCAATGTCTGTGTACAGTTTCGTGAAAACAGTGACTACAATAGTAAACTGGACACGCGTAAAGTCAAGAAACCATATGTAAGATATAATAACTACCTTAAATATTTAAGAAGTATCTTCTAAAAGTACCGAATTATAACGACAGGCGCATCTCACTATCGCGGTATAATTATCACATGCAAATAAAATGAGCCAATGGCAATGCCTGAGAGGAAAATCTCTATTCAAACATCGCAAGTATAGTTCTGACCGAGACGTCGCTAGCTGTAAGCCCGTGTACAGTTTTGCTTGCGACTTATGAGTAGAAAATACATCACGTGTCAGTGAACTTAAACGGACCTCCGCCTTTTTTCCAGTAATGGGTTAATATAGTGGAAAAGTAAAACAGTTTTTGTGTGATCTACAGTGAAAAAATAAATGGCATTGATGGAGTTGCAGTTATTTGCTTTATAACAGAGTTTAGAGCGAATAATATAATAGGTAAGTATTTTCATAAATGGTGGTTCCATTCTGTAATATTATAGTTGCAGCATGAATCCGATCGGCTCGCCCGGGGAGGGACCACGTTCTCACAGAATACCGGCGTAAAATAGCAGCTTAATGCTGCTGTGTTTCCCATAGTGACTACACTCACAGAACCGAAGACCCCTTTTTAATGGAATCAAGACATTACATCTAAGTCCTTAGGGGTGACAA